TATCCCTGGTTATGACATGTACTTCGACCAGTTACTTTGTACACGATTCGCGTTTTTATTAGAATAACCATGGTGTTTCTTCCAATCCTTACGTTCCCTTGCAGCCTATGTGATCATCCATATGTGGTCTCCGTTGGTTGTGAAATCCAAAGAAAAGTATGTTATTCTGGACGAATTTCGCCAGCTTACTTCCCTCTGTGTGTGCCTCCTCCCCCGAGTCATCCTTGCGTCACCTCACTTTGAGGTACTTGCGGACATGTGTGTTCTTATGAATATAAGCAAAATTCTATGATGTAATAGTGCACGTGTCGACCTACTTATTATGGCTCCCATGGTAGTCAAGAGATTTGTCGTGGATGTGCTCTACTGTAATGCCCCATTTTCTCTTCCACTCTACTTTTAACTTTCCTATAATTCTCTTACTCCTTCATTTTAATGAGTAACTAAAATCGACGCACAAAAAGCCTCGTAATGGTTGCACAAACTGAGACTGAATCTGCTCCGAGACATAATGTCGCAGATTCTCACCCTGCCACTGCCACCCTACTTTGATGATAAAAACCCCTTCATCATTGTCCTTCTCAAGGTTCTTTTGTGCCCCCTTGATGGTTCGTTATTCCAAGTTTCATAACTTTACTGGGTTTCGTACCTGCAGGTCAAAGTCAAAGTTTTATTATGGGCGATTTAACAGAGCTAAACTTTATCATGCGCCATAGGATTTTTACGGAATCTTTTGAATAATTTTACAAAGAGAAAATAATACTAGTATGCGTGATCACTCGCGGATGTCGAACTGTTAAGTGTTCCAACTCTTTGTCAGGTTGCGATTTAAACAGTTCAATCGCAGGAGCACACGCTGAATGGGCTGGAGGAGAATTCCATACGCCGCAGGCTATATTTTCCCAGACAGCCTTTGTATGGACGCGGTCCCCTGTTCCTGAATGTTGATTATACATTTGTATATTCAATAAGTGAAAAAGTAAAGATACATTCAAGACACGAGTGATACCGGCAATCAAGGTGGCTGTTCTGGGTCTTCAAATTTAGTAGATGTCCCCTAAGTGATCATTTTGGGATAAAGTTAGCATAGAACGGCAAGGGTGGTTGGGTTAATGCAGTATATGATATGCCAAGACTAGGTCCCCCCGAAGTAGGCGGTATTGAGATGAGTAAAGTCCCAATATTTGCAGTCTTTCGGAGTGTCGTGTTATACAGACCTTTTACGAATTTTGTTGCCAACCTTCGCGGACGTTCTAGAGCCTTCTTGTAGCGGTTCAACCATGGGTTTCATACTTAAACGGCGTGCTCCGTGTGTGGCCGAACGAACGCTGATAGCAAGAGTGGGAATAGTGTTCTTTCGAACTTCTCGTAAACACGTCTGAGTAGTCCAATTTGCTTTACAGCGATGGATGATGCTCTGGCACAGTGCGTGGAACACCCTACGTTCTCCTGTACCATAACTCCCAAATCTCGTCAGTGAAATGTGGTAGTATTTCGTTCCCCAGAACATGGAAATAACTACATTTGGAAACGTTAAACTCGATGTCATTGACGATTGACCATCTGTGGGCTGCATCGATCGTTTGCTGGAGTGCTATATAATCCTCTAGATGTGTTAGTTCTCCATATCTTAGCGTCGTCCGCAAATGGCAGTGTATTAGGCTCAAGGGCATGTGGCAGTTCGTGTATACATGCAAGAAACAGAGGAGACCCCAGTACGGATCCCTGGAGAACCCCCCGGGTAGCGGTGATAGGCTCTGATAATGAATTACCAATACGAAATGACATGGTCCTTTGTCGGAGAAACTCCTTGATCCAGTTCAGAACCAAACCTGTTGCTTCATAGTTGTAGAGTTTTCGCAGTAGAATTTGGTGGTTTACTCGATCAAATGCCTTGGAGAAGTCCAAATAAACTATATCTAATGGCTGGCCTGCATCGACGGATTTTGTCCACTCATCCCGTGCAAGAAGTGGATTTGTGGTGCACTAACGCTTGTTCCGAAATTCGTTGCTGAGTTGGAGACAAAAGCTCATGCTTCTCCAGGTACTCCATCAACAGATCTGCCACAGTAGCCTCCATGACTTTCGACAGTATCGGAAGAAGTGTAATAGGTGGTAGTTGGCGGGATCATCGCAAGAGTCCCCTTCGTAAATTATCTACTGAAGACTGTTGTCCCAGTTTCATACCTTCTCCGGAGAAATTAATCCTGAACTCATATTGACGTATAAAACGCATTCAAACAAGGGGTTTGGTTCTTTCTTCTCACGCCTAGTTCAAAATTTTCTTTCGAGAATCAAAGCTAAACTCCTTAAACGGCGTGAACATTTCTCAGGATTTCAAATACTGTTATCTGCAGTTGGTCTCACTTATTTCTTGCATTTGTCTCAACTGTCATTCAGCTCAGCAAAAAATGAGAGTTTGCTTCATGTTCTAAAATTTGTGTGTTCTATTTCGGCTGTTCGCCTAGCCTGGCAATTTGTTTGCAAACGTTACATCACCAGCCGAGGTGACATCATCAGCACTGATTATGTCCCCTTCACCTGGTAATAAAACGTTTGCAAACAAATTGCCATTCTCGGCGAACAGGAGAAGTAGAATTCAGCTCACCCGAGCTACGAGAACCGATTTTCAATACTTTGTTAAGAATGTGNAGAGTGTGTGTGTGTGTGTGTGTGTGTGTGTGTGAAGATGGGCAATATCACTGCCCTTCAGCCCAGTCATAGAGAGCGGAAAAGTCTAAACTCCCGGGTTAAGGTTGTCGCTCACATGTACCATCCCCTGTTGGACTGTGAAATTCAGTTACTTCAGTTGCGAAAAGCCAAATTTCCATCTGGACCTTGGGTTCCACCGTTGCGATTTGCAGTTTCCGGGGTAACTTATGATTCAGCAGGCATCACAATCTATTTCGTCATCCTCGCACACGCTTGCTTCCACCGCGGAACCCGTGGCTCACAATGAAGACCTTTTAGTACTACGGGCTGTCGAAATCCCACAGACCACATCTAATTTCACAATGTAACCATTGATAGCCCATTCTCTCTCTCGCGCGCGCGCGTTTGATTTACTCGACCGCTGTCGTATTTCTTCCGTTTTTGATAGTTTTCCCCTACGTATACTCATTTTTCATCGTCCATCTACATCGTCATCATCATCCCTCTCCATTTTCTAACTCCGTGCTCCGTTCCACAGTATGGCTCTCCACGTGCTGTTGAATTATAGCCTCAATCAAACTTTGAGCACAATCGCCTACGAGGGTGGCGAGGCTGGATTAGAGTGAGTCATACTAATTTTTACCACATTCTTTCTAATGTGTATGTGTGTTCTCTTGTACAAATCAAACATCGTGATATCGCTTCCAGTCATTTTCCCGAAGGTTAGCTGATAATGTTCAATCGTTAGAAGTTAGAAATACATTGACGAATCGGGTTGTGAGCAAGCGCGAAACAGACGCCACTGCACAACGATGACAATGATGATATGAGATAAGGAGAGGATTAGGATATAGAACAGGGTGAAATGGCGGTTAAAAGTTACGATAGAAGACAGTAGCCATCCACCCAAGTCGTACAATAAGACGACTGTCAAACAGAATAAACCACGGTCGAAAGTTGTGTAAACCATGGATAAGATTCGGTAGCTTATCAACGCAGGCCTCCGAAAGCCTCAGTATGTTCGGGGGTGGGTGTCTAGGGTTGCGGCTGGTCACCCTTTCCTTGCACCTCGCTTAATGCTCTCATACGACCGAGCGTCTCAAATAGCCTCTACTGAGAAAGCCCTACTCACTGCCTTCTCGTGGCGGAGGTGTTTCCCATCAAAGTGAGAGGACGAAAAGCGAACATCCGGGGCTATAACCGGTTTGGTGGACCACTGGTAGTTCACCTATGGGAGTTGGATGAAAAACCCTGATTCCCAACCAACCACAAGGACGTGTACGAACCACACACAAAACTTCCCGGTTGTGGCAGTGGTCACTGGCTCGTTTGGGTATCATGGT